CTGTCCTCCCTGCCAGAGGTTATGACACCTGAGGTGCCACACTCACACCTGACTGGCAATCAGCTGTTCAAGACCCGCCTCTCCTACATCGCTGAGGTTCTGGCCGAGATTCACCCGGAGATAAATTCCACACATCTCGTCACCATTGCTCTTCGTATCCTCTTCACTGACGCCCACATTAAAACGGTTCGTCGCTCAGGTGAACTCTTGTGTTGTATTTTGTTTATTGTTTGTGTTCTTGACTGTTGTTGGAGATTTTAAACTGATATATGTTTGAGTTTTGTATCAAATGGTATTTACCTTCCTTTAAGATATTATGAAAGGACGTCTGATTTTCTAATCAGGAGGGGTCTTTTAAAGATTCCCCAACTGTTTTTTTACATAGAATAGTACAAGTCAAGTATATCCTGAGTTTATGCAGAACAAGAAATTATTCACTTATTTTCTGTTACCATGTTCTGTATACCTGTTACTTATGGACAAATGTTCAGAAACCTACGCTAGGCTAGCACACATACATATCCTAAGTGTATACATTTTTAAAATATAAATGTGTGTTCATAGTGTGCAGTTTGATAATGAAAAACTTGTCAAATTAGTTGATTTGATTCAGGATATCAAGAAGGCAGAGACTGAAGAACCTCCAATGATCACCACCTACCAGAATCTTCAGGAACTGATGGACAATGCTAGAAACTCTACAATTAGTTCTCTTAAGGTGATTATATTTAGATACCATTTTATTCTTGCAAAAGTATAAAATAATCTTTATACTGTAAATGTGGAGACTATTGATAATGTCTGGCATTATGGTAGATTAAACATACTGCCATTGATTTGCCATCATTTTTTTTAATAATATAACAATCTATTAAGAAACTTTTCCTCTGGAATTTTAAACAAAGAGTATAACCTGCCCGGTAAAATTTTATCATACTTAGGTAAAACATTTATTCTACCCCAGAATAATCCAAATTAAATACACATAATATTTCCAATTAACCCGATTAGACTTCACTATAGCGAGACTTGCATTGTTCAAAGTCAATGGTTTTATTATATACTAAACGATAAACATGTTTTTTTGTAAACGTATACTTTAAATTATTAAATTTTATCAGCAGTGTACCCAAAAATACCCCCGCCACAGCAAACCTGCAGACTAAGCAAATTTCCATTTGCCTTAATTGGTTTTTAATTACGGTAAATATATTTAAATAACATCAGGTTAAACGAGTACCCAGGTTTGCTGCTACAGAGAGGCTAATAAAGTGTGTTTTTTAGTAAAGTATTAATAGCTTAGTATAAATAAGTTGGCCAACTTAGATCAAAATATATCCATAAAAAAGCAAACTACAACATTTTACAATTCATCTGCATAAGAATGCTAGGCAAAGAGTTTCAGACCTTACTCAGAGCAATGGCAGAACGCCAAACAGAAAAATGGAAGAAACCTTACAATTTAGTGATGATCTAGACAAGGTTAAAAACCATCTGTGCGACATTAAGGGCCAGCAGCATGTGTCTAAGGAGGACAAGAAAGAAGTGGAGGACCCTTAGAGAGTTTGAAGATGGGGCTGGAGTACCAGCTTTTTATTAATTTAAATAGAAAATGTTTATTGTTTTTCCATGTTCAAATTGTACTATTACTTATTATATAAAAAATGTCTTAAGAAAAAGGTGATTCCTCCGAACATCTGATCAATATGTTCATATACAAAATAAATGTTACGTATTTTGGAAATTAAACAACAAAAAACAACAATAAAAATTGGGAATTTTAAATTTATAATTTTTTTTATTTCTCCGTAACCAATAACCGCACAAAATACTTCAATAATATATTAAATTATTATTGTCTTTTAAGCCCTTTAAAATCGTCTAGAGAGAAATTGGGAAATGTTGTGTTTTGATGGTAAAAAATTAGAAATCCTAATTTTTACCGCATAAAACCCCGTTCCCATCTTCCGATCATGCTGGTTCACAAACTCATTCAAGTTTATCCCGCCTTACACCTTCAAACCAAATTTCACAAAAATTACTCAAGTAATCGCCTTCACAGACACTAAATGGTAATATTAAAATTTATTTTTTAACAGTTGGATTGGGCAGAGTACCTCAAGGTGCTGACAAAGGGCATGAATGTAACCACAGACATCAAATCTGCTGTGGCAGTTCAAAGTCCATCGTACTTTGAAGCCCTGTCTAGCAGATTGTCTAGCTCTAGGCCAGAGACTATACGTGAGTAAATTTATGTATATGGTACATACTATATTATGTATATCTATACATATTTAATACGCAAGCAGGTTTTTTGTGACAATTACTCCTCCGAAACTACTGAACCGATTGTCATGTTTTTGGTGTCATTGGAAAGAGCGTAACGTGAAGTTGTGCAGGAAACTTTCTTTTTAGGGAAATAATTAGAGAGTGAGGCTCTGGGGCCCTTTAAAGTTTCGTATTTCTCCATAAGATTAACATGGGGAACACAAATTGTTATGAAACTACAGCTGTTGTCAGAAATTAAAAGTGAGAAGAAGAACATACATATGTGTAAATTGTAAACAGTCAATAAGTTTGCTAATTTAACAGTTTGCTACAAACCTTTACTGACTTGGTTGAAATTAAATATTTACTATTTTAATTTGGGTTGGCGTAAATACTGCAATGGGAAAAAGCGAGAGAGCCTGGATAAATTGATATAATAAAAAAAAACTGAATTAACACTGTGCTGCATTTCTTAGTAATCATTGAAAGAGCCGATTTGCAAACTATGGAAACGTAGAACACCATCAAGGAGAAGAAAGAGAAATAATGTTTTTTTTAAGTTAATAATAGTTATTATGGACAACCTAATGCGGCTATGAGTAAGGCTATTTTTGTAGAAAACTTTGAATAATGATAAGATGTTTACAATAAATGTTGATTATATCGATCTGTTATATACATCTTGAGTATTTCCATAATCGAATCTTTTAAAGTCATCATAAATTATGACTGTTTTTTGGTTTATAATAATGCCTGTAATACTTAGCAATTGCTCGAATTCGAGCAACAGGGACACTAGTTTATACATAATATGTATGGTATAGATGATAAGTAACAAAAACAAAATAAACATTGTTATTCTGTGGTTTAAGTCTGTGGTTGAAATATGTATTTGGAATGGTAGTTGCACCTCACTTGCTTTTCCAAATGAACTTTTAAGGAGGTCAAGAAGTAATGCTTCAAGTGAATGAAGTTGAAGGAACAACATCACATGTTGCATGATGATGAAGTTTCTTGGTCTGTTCCAGAGAGATTTGTTTGGTGGAAAGTTGTTGAATCTTTGTCACCTCACACAACTACCGCCATGAGAAGGATCAGGGACAACTTCATGGAAGTCTTGTTTGGTCCTTCTATCAGATATACAAGGTAAATATTTTGTTTACCACCATGGTTTTACCATTAGGTTTACTAATATTGTTAAATCTCTATTAGTTTTGCAATCTGTCATTGAGACACAGTGCTATCCCCAGGCCGAATTTCTCTTCTCGTTTTCTCCGCTTAAAATTGAATTGATGAACAACCACGGACGACCTCGTTCTGAAAATTGTTTCGATCCTCCTTGAACAACTTATGCACGTCTAAGTCAATACACTTTTCTCCTTAAACATAGGTACATCAACTCGCAATGAATTTCTATAGAGGTTGACCCCCTCCCACATATCTGAAAGAATGCAATCCATAATTGGAACGAGCACTGATTTACTGCCCATCGTTATAAGCTTGAAAAGACTAAGCATTGTGAATAAGTATGGTATTGTAACTATAGCTATGCACTAGTGGTGGGGGCTGCAATCTTGCCAGTTTTAAACCAGAGTGTTATGTTTTGATGGGAGTGATGAGCTGGAAACAATTATTTATAGCCAACCTTCATATTATTTAAGTCACAATTTCACATTTTCAAAGCCCAAATTTATAAATAATCTACGAGCCTAGTCCAGAAAGAAAGTACCTTTTTGTTCTACCGCTGGCACAGCGCTAACAACGATATTACGCCTATGCCCACTAGTCTCCTTGGTTCATTGTTGAACAGCTGACGCAATTACGGCAAAATTTTGTTGAGTTTACATTAGTGTACACTCAAAATGTTTGAAACAATTTCTGATCCCGCGGACTGTGAAGTGCGTTCTTTTATACGATTTTTGAACCCAAGGAACGTGAAGTCTGCTGAAATTCATTGCCGACTTACAGAAGTTTATGGAGAAAAATTTATCAGTGATTGAATGGTAAGAAAATGGATTTGACAATTCAATGATGGGTGAACCAATGTTCATGACAAGGCTCGCAGCGGGCGGCCATCTGGTGCGAGTCCCCATTCTGCTGGTGCCACTCAAAACCTTTTGCACGGATTTGGTTGGGAGCAGTTTGACCATCCGCCATACAACCCTGATCTAGCATATTCTGATCTCCACTTGTTTTTGCACTTGAAGCGGGATTTCAGACGGCGCCGCGCCCCTTTGACAGCGATGACGACGCTCAAGACAGTGTTCGGCAATGGCTCTCTTCAATGGCGGCATCTTTCTATGAAGAGGGTATAGAAAAGTTGGTTCCTCGCTACGACAAATGTCTAAAAAATGGTGAAACCAAGTAGAAAAATAGTTTAAGATATAGGTATCCTGCGCGCTCTTTCTTGTATGAATAATTTTTTTTTTTTTTATTAAATGATCTGCATGTTTTTTTTCCAAAACGGTACTTACTTTCTGGACAAGCCTCGTATACATATGGACATTGGAATTTTCAAAACTTTATTATGTGTTTGTGTCCCTTTTATTAGAGGTGATTAGGCTATAAAAATTCAAATATATCAGAACCTATTAAATTATCTCTAAATTGTTAGAAAACCTATACACTTGGATTGTTTAGTTTATACATAAGCATACTGTATTGCATACAGTATGCTTATATGTATACTACATTTTCTTTTACAGAGTTAAGAGATGTGGAAAAATCACAAAGTCTTTCTTCAACTATGCGATTAGTCATGTTATTGCCTCTCAAAACCGTTTGGAAGAATCTACAAAGAAGGTAAATTATTTAATTAATTTTCCCTTGACACTTATTATTGGTACATGATTCCTGTTTTATAAACTTAAATAGTAACAAGACGACGGCTTAGAATGATGTTCCCTTACAAAAAGCTTTTTAAAAAATCCACTAGCAAAAACACACAAATAAAAAATCTATAGTAAATTACTGTTATAACCTGGGTAATGGAAACTTTCAATTTACCTGGACATTATTTAATTAATCACCCAAAAATATTTTGTTTAAACTCCAATTCAATTTTAAAAACAAATACACTCATTTTTAACTGACTTCCCCACTACCAACTTAAGGAGGAGGTTCTCAATTCGTTTGTGGGAATTTTTTTTCTATTGATGGTCACCAATTTCTCTGTCATTCTTTTACCGATCAACGTGTTTCCACCACCAAAATAACCGGGAGAGTTTCTCTTTGGTACCATATAAAACATTACCGTATGTTTAAGTGTAATTTTTTTTTGTCGGTAAAAAATTCTGAAAACCTGAAATATTCAACATTTATTTTGTTTATATATGTGCAGAGATGGCAATAAATACCTAATAGCCTAATAATATGCCTACATCTGTTAGTTGAAACCATTTAAATGAAGCTACAGACAGTTCTTCATGAAACAGTTGCTTCGTATTGATTAATAAACTATTTCTAGCCATGGAGCCTAGATAAATTTTAAGAAAGGTATTTTAACGTTTGGCCTGACTTGTGTATAATTCCGTTTTGAGTATTGAATTTTCTGACTTATAAAAATGTCAAAAATCATCATAAAGCCGACTTAAAATATGTGAGCTTGACTATTACTGTAAAAAAGTTTACTTTATTAAAATTATTTCATTCTTAGAGCGTTTGAAGTTGGATGTTTTTTTTTACAAAAACAAATTATTTACCGAACCTATGTATTTTGCGGTTCAAATTGTCTTGTAATTAAACTAGTCTGGAGCAAAGATATTATTATGTATAAGATTCTACCAATTTCCTTGTTATTCATTGAAGAATAAAAGTCTCAATTAATTAATTAATGTTTACTGTACAATTTAAATTTTTTTATAGTTAAACCGACATGATTGTTTTGTTAAAAACCAAGGTCCAAGATATGTTGAGGGACATAACTACAGCGTTCAGTGGTATGGTGAGAGCTCTAGACTGGATGGATCACCGAACTAAAGCCGCAACTCTGGGCAAAGCCGCGGCCATCAGAAAGTACGTTGGCTACCCTGATTGGTTAATGAACGTGACGGAACTGGAAAACCTTTACTCAAACGTAAGTTTCTATTCATTTACCTTTCCTTTCTTCTGTTATATGTTTAAAAAGTCAATTCCTGTTTTTTTACCTCTGCTAGTAACAATGTTTCTTACAGTACTCCCTGAATAAACTAGACTGAATAATAGGTTGTTTTAAACACTGATCAAATCCACCACAGCTCCAAATTGAGTTTTGGTAAAATAATTGAATCTCAAGCGACACTGACGCAACCTAGTAGGCGAGGACAAAGGTCAGGTGGACCACAAGATTGTTCTAACTAGTTTTGCCTTGGATGTCACTCGTCACAGTCAGTGAACTTACATGTGTGTGTCGTTGTTGTTTTTTTTTTTTTTTTTTTTTTTTTTTTTTTTTAATACCATTTAGTACATGTTTAATTATTCATGCTTGGGTCATGTGAGCTTATAAAACCCTCCCTTTCCTTAGGAGGATACAACTGTTATTCCAAAAGTCATACCTCCTACTAAATGTAAAAAACAGTACTATGAGACTGGCAACTGTGCTGCATCTTGTTTAGATTCTGGCTAACACTTCTAGGGGTTTTGTGATTCCACTGCTGCAGGGCTGCAGCGAAGCAGTGGTGACTATTACTCACTCGTATCCTTTTATTTTATTCTACTCGGGAGATTTTTGCTTCAAAAAGCAAACATACAGTACACACAGGTCCTATTTTCTCTGTGCAACCTTCTAGATCAGAGTAAAAGATAGTCCAGGTTTCATTTTAGATGTTTTTCCGACAGTTGAACATCACCAAGAGCAAGTTTCTCTGGAACATGTTGTCCATCAAGGCTAGTGAGGTGACGGAAGTTCTCAATACGCTGGGAACAACTCCTCCCAACTCCACTGAGTTTAGGTATGGTAAGTATAGTCTGTGTCTAGCTGTAGTTTACCTCATGCCACTTAGGGTGCCAAGCTCTCCATTGCAGTTACCTAACTGTAAAATGTGTGTTCTGATGTGTTGTGTTGTATTATACGCCACTTTGTAGGGGCAGCATGCATGTTCCTTAACACGAATCACCTTGAAAAACCTTCGTCAAGTTGGAGATAATATTTTGTTATAGACAGTGACAGATTTAAACTCCTAAATCCCTGAAGCTAACTGCACGTGTGGCAAAATATGCGTTAACGTAGGATAACAGTAGAATGAAGAACTTCTTACAAGGTTTTTTTTATAAATATAGGTATACTGTAGACTTCCTCTTATCTGGACTCCTAAGACTCGTCTGGATAACGGTTTTTCCGTCACCTAATCAGGGTAATCACTTGAAAAATAATCCAAATATTTTATTTACATTTGGGAAGGCATTGTATTTAGACACGTGATCACTGGTGTCAAATCTTTCTCACAAGAAAATTTATTTCAGTACTGTTCCTGCCAATCCTGTCCAGTTAACCCATGTGCTAATCAAAATTATCCAGTTAAATTTATGTCACTTCTGGCAAGTGTAGTCCAGTTAGTTAAACCGATATTCATGTGCTATAGAGTCTACAGTTTGTATGTTGTATTTCCAGATGGGACAGTGATCCTTTAGAAGTGAATGCTTATTACAGCAGAACAATTAATGCAATAGGTAAGTGCTTATGTATCAACATTTTAAAAATACTAGTTGCTCTGCCCGTGCTTCTCTACGGGATGAGAATGCAGAAAAGGAGTAATGCTCAATCGTACTTATCGATTATTTAAATGCAGCTTTCTTAATGTATTAACATAATTTTATATAGTGTATTGCATTTAGTGCAAAAGTCCAATTCACTGACCACATGGCACCAAGAAACAAATCTTCATATTAACAAATTTAATTAAATAGCAGAATGAAGGATTACAGCTGGGTTATTAAATTTTCTTCATAAGAAATACATTGGACAGGAATTGGTGATGGGGTGTCTACACAAAAAATACTTAATTTTGAAACATTGTTTGTAAAAATCCATCCATTATTAACGGAGGAGTAGTGTTTCGTAGAAATCGCCTTCACGTACTATATATAAGGAAGGATTTCAAAACTAGAACAGGTCTAGGCCTACACGTACTAACCTCTAGTTACACATTTGGAGACCAAAAGTAAGAGTGAGGCTTAAATCAATATAATTGAGAATATTTTTATTTGCATTATGTCAACAATGCAAAATTGTCTTGGTTTCACAGGGAAAAAGTATCTAATACTTTTGTTGGTACATGTAACAAATATGTTTTATCATTCAACGGATTCCCTAAGAATGAAAAGCTGTTACTAAACAGTACATACTGAATATGTATGGTTTACAGGTTCAACAGTAAAAATTCCAGTGTTAAAAGATAATCTCCAGATAGTCAGTTGTATGTTTAAACAGAAGATATAACATTGTATTTCTTTGCACATGCAGCGATTCCTGCCGGTATTTTACAAATTCCATTTTACTTCTTGGGCATAGAGTAAGTAAGCTATGTAAAGTCACAAATTAGGTTAAACATACACGCTTATAGATTTATGGTTCTCATTTCTCTGAATAGGAAATGAGGATACATTTTTATATCTTGCAAATCTTGTTCAACTCTCAGTGATCTTTGTTATGAGTTATTTCTTGACTTGAAAACTGTGCCATCTGTTTTAGCAAATTTCCCATTTAGGGAATAAGCTATTACCGTAGGTCTCATGGTAAACTTAGACCCGGGACCGATTTACTTTTTCGTTTTGAGGTCTTCAGAGGCTAAAAACACCATCCGTTCAAATTTATATATGTGTCCGTTAGTACGATAACTCAAGCAAAAATGATCAGATTTTGATGAAATTTGGTACTGTTTCCAGTCATTCCTACGTAGTGGGTTATGACGTATTGTTTGAAAGATTACTAACACGTGAATCGTTCAGTTTATAAAATGAAACGTGTGCACCCAAGTGGCGCAAGTAAAATAAAAATGGATAGGAAATATTTCAAAATAAAAACAAATTAAATTCAAACTGTTTGAACTTATGGTTAGCAGGTTAGCTGGTTTCAGTTCCGATTCTTCTAACAACGAGAAGTCGCAAACAGGCAGGCGGAAATCTTTAGAAGTTTTTTGTAAGCCTTACAACGTTTAAATTAAAATACTTTTGATTATTTCTGTTTGTCTTTGTTGCTGAAGTACAACTATGGAGTAAAGTGTGTGATAAACAGTAAATGTGGTCCATTCATAGATGTAGTCAAAATTCAAAAGTGGTACGTGATATGCTTTTTTACCATGTATGGCAAAAACTCCAAGAACTAGGTTTTGGTCTTATTTTTAAATTGAAGACTTAAAACAATTTTAAGAATAGGCCTTTAAATTTTATGACAGCTGTAGAGGTGAATAGAAATACGAGCAAATTGTATATCAAATTTAAATTGATTGATACCTTGGAATTAAATTTATAAATACAAAGATTTTAATTTATGGAAATTTAGCAATTATTAATTTAATCAAAATTATCAAAAACTTTTAATCATTTAAAACCACATTAGGCCCCTTTTATGAACCTGCGGCATGCAGCAAACATATATGCTAACTAATTGTTGCCGTGAGAGCACCCCATGGTCCTTGTTTTATTTCTGGCTGGGGGCCTCAAATCAACATCTAGCCGAGGGCCTCCAATGGAGCCAGACCGGGCCTGAATAAAATCATATATATCTTTTTATTTGTTGAACGCAATAATGAACATGAAGCGCCCACCAAAGCTTCAGATTTTACAGAAGGAGGGTATTTAAGTCTATTCTCATCCAAAGTCAATGGCAATAGCTGATAGTTTGTACATTAAGATAAACTAATTATATTAATCCATCTTATATGGTTTGTATTACGGTACAGAAATGGTTTTATTGAATAAATCCTTTAGTGATGAGGTAAAAGTTATTTCAGCACAATTCAGCAGAGAACATAATGTCACATTTTTGCCAAAATAAAAATTTTTAAGATGTTATGTTTTGAAAAAAAAAAGATTCCAAAAAAAGAATATATTGTACTAATCTTTGAATTAATATTCAATTATATTCGCTACTTAATAGGAATTGTGAGTATGAGTATAACGGCAATGGTAACTAAAATTTCTTTTAGATTAAAGAGTTATCATTTTTGAAAAAGAACTAAATAATAATTGATAGTAGCATTCCGTTATGAGGATTAAATGTTATGTAAAATTTAAGGGAAGGATATATACACAAATAATAGTCATAGTGGTCATTACGAAAGGGTGGTCTTCTATAAATGTTTGCCAAACAATTATCATCATTGCACTATTGCAGGTCCCTGAACTATGGAGCGATTGGAAGCATTCTTGGACATGAGCTAACCCACGGTTTTGATATTGAAGGTATAACTTTCAATTTGCTATATTCACCTAAAAATCCTTTAAGACAAAATGAGACATTTATATAGGAATTTTTGAGAGGATAGCAGGCTTACCTGAATGGGAAAGAGTCAAAACTGGCACAGGAAACACAAAAATTTACAACTATATACACAAAACATTAGAATATTTCACTGTCACTGGCAGCATTTTTAACTATAAGGAAGGGAAGTATTTGTTCACAGGTGTATATGTTAAAAATGACTAGAAAGAGCTTTAAAAACACCAATTTTCTGGAACCCCCTCTCATTCCACACCCCATAAACCATCTGGTAGCCCCCCTCTGACAAGGTCCTAGAATCACAACTTCATATTAGCAAAAACATAGGGTTTAATTGAGGGAGAAGATGTGTGTTGGTTTACATAGTTTTAACATAATTTTAAGTCAGTTTGACAATGGTTTTATTTTATTATTGGTAGGTACTTTGGTATTATGCAAATGCCACCCTGATACATAGATGAAAGTATGACTCATCTGGTATGGTTCGGTTCATAACAAAACTAGGGAAGTCCTACAAACATATTTATGATAACACAACCTAACATAACCACCGCAGCGCTGTAAAATATGTGGCCTCCGTATAATACCAATGTACCTGATTAGTGATTATCTAATGAAAATCAGAGCTCATAACATCAAACTCTCCTTAAAAATGTCCCTTAACTATGTAATGAATCTTTTGATGTTTAGGGAAAGACTATGACGAGACTGGGCAGAAAGCGTCCTGGTGGGACAGTAAAGTCTCGGACATCTACAGTCAGAAGGCGGAGTGTTTTGTGGACCAGTACAGCAAGTTTTCCTTCCACAACTCTGATCAGCTCAAGGTCAAACGCTACTCTATATGGAATACATTGTTCTATGATAAACCTCATGAATTGTGAGTGGAGTGATGATACGACAATATCAATCACTTATATTATTTATGGATGCATTATGATCAACACACAAATGATTGATGAAGATCATCCATCAGAAATATAAGTTTATGGTTCATAGTGATAATCAGGCACATATTAGCAATGTTATTTTAGAGTGATGGGATGCACTGAATGGCTGCCAGATAGTAAAATACTACTCAATAATCTGAGCGTAAATATATTCTAAATCCATAATTTACAGAAAAATGAAAAAACACTAGCTGCATAGCCTCCTCTACACAAGGCTGATGCGTTGTTGTGTGGTAATGGCAATTGGCAACTTCGCTGTCGCAACATCATGCCTATTGCCATGGTGATAATAGCAATAACAAAAGTGTAAACATCAACATTGCCTATACGCTTCAATATAAAATTAGTGCAACAGCTGTTCGGTGTTATAAACACTTTTGTCTCGCTGTGGTCTTGTAGTAGAGGAGGATATGATAGCTGTGCAATACACAAATTAAAATAAAATTGTATATTTTGCAAGTGGGCCCTACTACATACCTATTATAAATAGCCTGATCTTCCTTTGATAAAATATCTTTAAAATAGACCTTATAAATTTCTCAATCAGCAACTAGCAGTTGTATTATCTTGTATACGTTTCCAAATGTTGAGTAAAAAATTATAGATGACTATCATAAACCCTCTCTGAAATACTTAGACCTACTTTTGTATTTAAATCGAACACAAAGTAGCCTAACTATTTTACCATAGGTGAATGGAACACTTACCCTGGCTGAAAACATCGCTGACAACGGGGGAATCCGCGAGGCTATCCAAGGATACAGACTGTACACGGCTCGTAATGGACAAGAGCCTTACTTACCTGGACTTCAGCACTACTCTCATGAGCAGCTGCTCTTCCTGGCTTTTGCTAATGTAATTTCAGATAAAAATTGCTTCTGGCATGTATAAATATACAAATAACACCTATTATGTAGATAAACTGAGTAAAATAGAAAAATTATATTTTCAGTGAAGCATGTACAAGGTGGTTAACTTCAACATGAATGTTTTTTTTAAACAAAAATTTATTTGCAATCCGCTAGTTTACAAATTGAGCAATGAGTAATGCTATATACATTTGGCCTCAGTTCTACTATAGCCTACACACTAACTTATACATTTGAAAAAAGGTGTTGGGTTTGAAGCTATGTTCCCCAAAGCTGGTGGGTCCAAACTAGTTTCAGTAAAACTTTGTAAAAATTGATTTCAAAAATGTTTAAATACACAAATTAGTTTCAAAAATATATGGTATACATAATTTTCTAGCTTAAAGATTGCATAATCCTATTTTATATTTTTGTCAACCTTTGAGATGAATTCGTTCAGTGCCTATTGATGTGTAGGCTATATAGGCTACTTTTAAAACTTGTAAATAGTTTTAAAACATTTCCATTGTAAACACCGTGTAAAATTTTTACAAGAATTAAAAATTCTGTGGCCTTGAAGAAAAGCCTGTCCTGTGACTTTTCATGATATCTCGTAACTTCAACACATTAAAATTTCATTAATAATCTCAGTTTACCATAATCAGCCTCGTAACCATAATGTTGGTTGTCTCAGGTGTGGTGTGAGGAGACGACGCCGCAGTTTGAGGCGATGAGTCTTACGGATTCTCATAGCCCCAACAAGTTCCGAGTGCTCGGCAGTCTCTCTAACTCCCCCGAGTTCTCCAGTGTTTGGGGCTGTAAGACTGGCGCTCGCATGAACCCGAGCCATAAATGTATACTGTGGTGAACAAAAAATAGATTTATTTTCAATTAAACCATTTTTTACACCACGGCGTTGTTCCTACCCAACATCAACATACCTTGAGAATATTGGCCTGGTGTGATGAGTCTAAATACTATATATTAAATATAATTTAGGGAACCCGTGCGGCTCAATGAGCCTCAGTATAAAACATAACGTTGAGGAAAACTTTGTGGAAAACTTATGAGTAACTTTCTTAGAGTTATTATAAAACTACTTGTCAAAAATTGATTTGTAATATCTCCAATTGTCTAGTCAATGTTCACATACATGTCTGCTCCTACCCAGACAGCACAAAGATATTTTATAAATATTTTTAAAATATATATCCATCTTAAAAATATTTTATATATTTTAATATTATTTTTTAAATATATTTTTTACTTTCTCCCCCTATACCATAGTATATGGAGAAAGTATTGTTTTCGTCAAAATTTTCGAGTTTGAGTTTTGAGTGGATATATTCGTTTTGGGTCCCCCTGGACCCAAAAAAGTGGTTTTCGAAGTGATGTCTGTGTGTGTGTGTGTCTGTGTGTGTGTGTGTCTGTGTGCTTTCGTGCTGCATAAGCTGTGGGGACATGAGTGTGAATGTGACCAGACTGTGTGGACCTGGTCGCTTATGTGGACATCACACACGTCCACACAATTTTCACAGGAAATACATTAACTGTGTGGACTTAGTGATGTCTGACTACTGGCGCTCCTACAGACTTTTTGGTGAACAAGGAAAGCTGCTGGCGGCTACTAGCAATGGGACTTGAGTGTTTGGCTTCCCAATCTCCTGATATAGAATACTCCTTGTACAACTTTTCATAATAAATGAATAACCCAATCAACTATTTAAATAATCCCCATTACCGTTTGGTTAAACATAGAATAATTATCATTTATATATATTTATTTATATAAATAAAATGTTTATAACTTTTTATGCCACCTAATATTTTTTTCATAGTTATTTATTTTACTATTTTTTCTTGTGATTCCATTTAGCTCACATTTTCACCCATCTTCTTTCATTTATTTATTTTTTGTATTTGATCAAATAGAATTAGATTAAAAGGTTAATTTAATTTATTCAGTTCATTTCACATTTATGTTTTTCTTCTCCATTAAATATTTATGTACAATTTTTGTAAATACTTTGTCGGAATAAATACATAATTCATTCATTCATAATAAATATAATGGGTGTGTGATATAATAAATCATTATCACATTTAAATGTTACATATTCAATACCTATAGTAATTAGTAAGTAAAAAAACAATTTGCAAGATCCATTTGCAACAATTTGCAAATGAATAGACAGTGCTGGCCAGACTTTACAGTTTTAACCAGTTTTATCGCTTTTTTTTAATTTGATCAACATGACTAGTTTTGACTATTGTTATTTTGACAGTGTTTTAAAGAATCTTTTGACATACTACAATGTTAATACAGTGATTATGTGGTTGCATACAATGACCTGACGAAGTTCTAAGGAACGAAACTAGTCGTCATACCAGCAACTGTGGTTGGATGAGGTAATCCTTTTATATTATTGATAAAACTTGTGTGTGTAATGGAAGCAAGTGGTTTACTAAGAACAAATAACAGAAGTCATTCGATTCATCCTTTTTGTCGTGAACGTGATGCAGGTGAACGTTTTCGTACGTTTTACAAAACATCAGGAAACATGAGACAACGTTTTTTTTTATACTGTCGTACCTATGTCAGTCCAGTCATTCGATGAACTTCTTCAGATCATGAGGCCTCAGATAACAAAAATAAACACGCATTTTGGGAATAGTATTCTATGCTATCAGAATATTATTATGCCTGTTTGTCCCACAGTGATAGCTGGCCGTGAAAACTTTCGATAAACTTATCAACATCAAACATTTCTAGTAGATTCTAAACAACCGCACAACGCAACAGGATAGTGTGCACGAACCCACGAGATTGAACGAGTTTTCGGTCTTTGTCTGATTGATTAAATGCACTAAGTTAGATTTCAGTTGTGACAAAATTAGTCAGTACAGTTTTTATCCCTGTCATATTACATTCTTCCATTACAATTCCCATCATTAATTAAATGGCCATCATAATTGTCTTTACTTACTGGTTAATTGCGTCCTTAATTACGGGGTTTGTGAGTGTATATGCTAAGTTTAGGAACGCCTCACAGAAGAAATTTACACACGCTAAAATCTGGTGATCTAGGAGCCACGACATGATATCACAACATAAATATTGGGAAGGTGAAATAAACCATTCTACAATAGAAATATAATAAATTTAATGAAAATTTAATCCTTATGGGCAATGAATCTTGTTAAATTAACATTTATAAGGTTTAATGTTTATCTAACGTTGTTGTCTTACCTGTGACATAAAAAAGAGCTTAATCAACAATTATGAACCACAGCTTGACACAGGGCCGTCCGAAGGGGGGGGGGGGCAACCGGGGCAAGTTGACCCAGGTGCCGCAGCAAATTTTGTTTGTGGTCTTGTAGGTTTGCATGAATCGTAAAGGTTATCAGATTAAGGCGTTAATAAATACGAATCTGAAAAATGAGGCTGTAGTTAACAATAATTTGTAACAAAAAATGTAAACGTAATGTAGTATGAAGCTAACATATGCGAATGCGACTAGTACTGGGGGGGAGGGGGCACCGCGACTACATTTTCCCCGGGCGCTGACAACCCTAGGAACGGCCCTGGTTGACAAAGCGTTTCGACATCTACATCATCCTAACAGTTTCTTTAGAACCGAACGGCTGCATTTTCCCGATAGATTCCGTTTTCCTAAAATTCATTCGTACGGACATAATTCATTCGAAAAAAATAGAAAGAATTCAATAATAAAGTGAATTACAATTAAAAAACTAAGAAGACAAAATGTTTAACTCTCCTCTAATAGTAAGGGGTTGTTGTCAAGATGCTACCCAAACAAAACGCCACCATCTAGATGACCGAAGTGTTGGGTTGACTTGTAGGTAGCAATTTAAGTGCCGTACCGACAGTTAGTCATTAATTAAAATATATAGTACATTTTCCTTACGTCCACCAGTAATTTTAATACGGGAATATGCTTTATTTCTTCTCATAAAACCTTTTGTACTGCCGTTGATTATGGACGCTAACTAACTACAAGTACAAGTAATGTATCATATATAAAGGGGGAGACGTGATTCATATGATAATATTTCTTTGTACTATCGGTCGCTGATTACTGTACAGAACCATCCTTTTCCTACCTGCATTAATCCATTTACACTATCGTCGATTATAGGCGCTAACTAAAGCTACAGTTCAACAAAGTCAAGCTATAAAATAGTCAAATTTGAAACTGAATTGAGTACCTCATCTGAAAGGGCTTTCTGTTCAGAGACAAAGTTAGTTGTTGTCATAGTTTAAGTCAAAACCAAATACAGTAAAGTATTTAATTTATATATTATTAATATCAAAAATATTCAATTAATATTAATTAATAAATCAATATTGTAAAATTTTAATATGAAATTAATACTATAAAATATTTATATCAAATTATACAATATTAATTTATAATATTAAATTATATTAGTAATATGGAACCAAATCGATTGTATCACTGAAAAAATGTCGATAGTTCTCCAGCAATATCTTTATGAAGACATTGGTATTTTGGCCTAATATTTTAATCTGACGAGAAACTGTATTTCTTACTTATTAAATATTTTTTACAATTAATTAATACATGAATATTGTTATTTCATATGCTACATAGCAATTCGGATGTGATTAATATACAACGATTTGTTTATAAGGAAGAGTGGAGACATAACCTAAATATACTGTCAAAATGCAACCAGTGAAATTCCCAAACTGTGTGGACATTAACACCTTTAAGCGAAAAAACACTCGATTGTGTCAACATTTGCATTATCTGTGTGGACATGTGTACTACCTTTTACATTACTTGTGGGGACATGACCAACTCGTGCATTAACTGTGGGGACGTCCACACAATTTTTATGATTTTTTTTACTACATTTAGACCAATAAACAAGGAGTGTTCTATAATTAATCTTCAATTTGAGGTTAGAAAGAACCTAGGATATTTTTTTCAGCCGTGTGCCTTGATGTCCACACAGTTTGGTTAATAACCCATGTCCACACAAGTATAGGGATGGCGTGTATGTGTGTGTGTGTCTGTGTGTCTGTGTGTCTGGATGTGTACAGAGCTAGAGACTACACCTGTGGTCCGATTTCAATAAAATTTGGTATGTAGGTTCTAATCCATGGTATCTCCAGGCGTTTTTTTCATTTTTTTGAAATTTTGATTTTTAATGGGGATTTTCTCAAAAATGGCTCGAACGATTTTGATAAGAATTTAGTATGTTGTAGCCCTTTAAATTCTGAACAAAATGGTACAAATCCCATTTCTGTAAAAATTACGGTTCAAAAGTTATAGTAAATTATGTTATTTTCCCATAAAAACCCCATAAAATAACAAACAATGGAATTTTAGACAAAAATCCGGTTTTGATTTAACATAGTATGTTATAGTTCTTACAATTTTGAAAGTTTCATTTTTATTTTTTAGAAATTTTGATTTTTAATGGAGATTTTCCCATAAAACCCCATAAAATAACGGAAAAATAGGATTTTCCCTAAAATGGTTCGAACGATTTTGATAAAAATTTAGTATGTTATAGTCCTTTATATTCTGAACAAAATGGTACAAATCTTATCTCTGTAAAAATTACGGTTCAAAAGTTATTGTAAATTATGTTATTTTCCCATAAAAAACCCCATAAAATAACGGTAAATCAGATTTTCCCAAAATTGGCTCGAACGATTTTGATAAAAATTTAGTATGTTATAGTCCTTTAAATTCTGAAGAAAATTGTACAAATTCCATTTCCGTTTATTTAATCTCACCGCTTACGCATGATAAAGGTTGTTGACAAACTTATGGGAGAAAGTATGTGTCAGAATGCTGATACCGTTTATTT